CATTTTTATTTTATTTTTTTAGATTTGACATTATCAACTCTTGTTCTTCTTTCTCTTCTTGGAGGATTAACATATTGCGTTAAGTTTGCAAGAAGTCATTTTTCTAAACGTACAACCTTTAAGAGAACAAACTTGAAACTAATTTTTAAACTTCAGCGCAACAGAATCTAGGTATGCCATATGACTCTAACAAACCGACTCACCCAAAACTCTCTGCCGTGAGTCGAGTACAACCGATTCTGTTGTACGAATATGCAGTGCTCTGCGCACTGTTCTAACAAACCGTAGCTTAAAACAGACTTATTGCATGCAGGTGTCCCTTAACGGTGCATGCCCAGTAAGAAACCTTGTTATGACTCTGAGCTGATTCCTGTTTGTTTTCCGCAGTATTTCAGCCCTATTAGCACATGTTCATCCAATCTTGCCATGTATTTGACCGGGTATATTTCTACGGTGTCAGTTATGTTGGCTTCGGATCCAGATTTTTTTCTTGTCGCAATCGATATCTTTTGACATTTCCATGGCTGGCTCTGGACCAATATATTTTGTAGCTGATGCTCTTCTGGCAAGTTCACTATTGTCATATATTCCCCCAATGACCTGGAACCCATAACAGTGTAACACAATTATGTTCTACCAGTCTGTCGAGTTCGTTTTGACATTTCCATACTATCCTAGAGTCCACCTTAGGGCTTATAAGACCTTCATGGATGCTTGGCTATCTGCGCATATATTGATTTGCTTCAGTTCGCAACCCGTTAGGTTAATTTCCCTTGCACACTGCAATATTGCAAAATTAAATGGTCTTAATAAGTCTTTGCAAAGAAACAATACTCATATTCTGCACTTAGAACATACAATGACTGGGTGTCAGAAACACACAACCTTTTTAAGTTTGTGTTTTTTTTTCCAACACAACCTTTTTAAGAAACTAAATATTCTTTAGAAATTAAGCTCCTAAACCAATTCAAACTCCCGAAACCTATTGTTGATATATCAATGAAGTAAAATGGCGGCGAATTACGCTTTATTTTAATGTTTTCCGTTAAGTAATTAATTTTAATACCGATCGTATTTATTTAAAAATTAGGCAATCGTATTTTAATTGTACCTTTGTTAATTTTATCCTAATGTCTTTTACCTGTGCTTAATGTAAACGCCCATTCAAGTCCTTTAAAAAGCGTAATATGTATTTTTTTTAAACCTTTTTTTTTAAACTTTAGCATCAGTGATGATGATGAGCGAGAACTAAAAACCAACTATTATATTTGTGTAATCATTTTATTGTACTGAAAATACTATTTTAGTTTTAATTTTGTTTTTTGATTTAATTTTACGTTTGTTGAAAAACAGCTACCATAGCAATTTGGAGATTATTAAACTACTTGCAAATTTGTTTGATACAGGCCTGTACATTTAATTCGGTGGACCAAATTGCACCAAGTTCGAGTTAAGAAGTAGGTAACGCCCTAACCCAGACCTTCAACGAGAGCGAAAGTGGACCACAGATAGAGCTTGGACTGTTACTTTTCGAAAATTTTACTTTTAATATTATTCCGAATATTAAATAATATTCCGATCAGATCGGAAACAGAAAAGATCTGAATAATGAATAGTAGTGAAATCAAATTGAATCCCTTATGTGACAGAAAATAAAGTTGACGATTTTTAGACTGATTTATACTTGAACATTAATAATAATAATATCATGTTATACCTGCCAAGTAATTTTTAATAATATATATATATATATATATATATATATATATATATATATATATATATATATATATATATATATATATGCTATACGCTCCCGAAGAAGCTGAAGCTGTTTGGACTTGAAGATTGAAGATCCTTTTTGTGTGGGGATCATCCCATTTTGTGTTTGGTTTTACAGTTTCTAGTGTCACTGCGCTGTTACCACTACTTTTCTCCATTCTTCTTTCTCTTTGATTGTTCTTTCTATATTTCTAATTTCCATACTCCTTCTTCTTCTTCTTCTTACAGTTGTCTCCATCTCAATTCAGGTCTGCCTCTGGTTCTTTTACCTGGTGGTATCCATTCCGTTATAACTCTTAACGGATTACACTTCTCACTTCTCATTATGTGTCCATGCCATCTAATTCTTTGTGCTTTTATTGCCCTAACTATGTATCTTGAACCATCCATTCTTGTATTTCGTGATTAATCCATTGTCTTGCATCCTCTTCGTTTTCACTCTTTGGTCGAGTATTTTTCTAATAATCGTGTTCTCAAAAACTTTCCATCGCTCTTTATCTCTTGCTGTTAATGTGAATGTTTCTGCAGCATATACTACTATTAGTCTTAGGGTTGTATTGTTTTGTAGATTTTTATTTGTGTTTTGGCTTATCTCCTTATCTGTAAACATTTTTTTATGTGTATAAAACGCTGTATTTCCCGCTTGAATTCTTCTTTTTATATCTACACTTTCATTTCTTCTGTTGACATGTTTTGACCTCTTTGACACTGTGTGCATCTATTGTCAGTACTATCATTAGTGTCTTATTTTACTTGCTTACGTTCATGTATTTTATTTTATTTTCATTTATCCAGTCCTCTCAGTTGGCCTCTTGCTTGACACAAATTTTATGTTTTTTGTAATTACATAGGTACTAATGTTTATCCAATAAATTAGTTACATCCAAAATTATCTTTAAAGTTATTCCGTAAATTAAAAAAAAATGGAATGTCGTGTAGAGAAAAAAATACCTTTCAAATGATGTGCCACTCGAGTACACTTGCTATTTAAAAAAAAAACTGGCGGTTGATGCGGAGCAGTAGGGAGTTACATTTCAGGACTTGAATTTTGCGTGAAAATTCGTTTTCCTTTCAAAACAAATTGACGTATTTTTTTAAATCTTGAAGAAACTCTTGGCTTCTGAATTTCTGGGGGGGGGGGCTCAAATTTTCCTTGGAACAAACTGTATATCGTTTATAATTAATAAATTAGGTTCAATATATTGCATATTTTGTATATTACTTAAAAAAAACAGAAAGCAAAAAGGCTAACGCAACAGTTTAAAATTCTAAATAAATCTGCGGCTTAGACTAGAATATGCTGGTGTCTGATCGGCCTATGGTGGAGCAGTACGGCAAGAGATAAGGGCTTGCGGATCGGTGATACTCCTCCATAGATCCCTACCGGATCTTCGTATGTCGAAGATGTCGGCTAAATACCGTGTATATATACAGATTGAACGAATTTAAAACGGATCATACAATTTAATTTATGTCTGTTTGAACTGTATTTAAAATAGTGGACCAATATAAAACTTGGACAAAAATAAATCCATACCTGGGTATAGACATTGTATAAAATATCGTTCAACTATCTGTCTCGCAACAAGTTGTTTGCTTAAATGAAGCGATAATAAGCGATAATAAAGCTCGAAAAAAGTTCAAACTTCGCATTTTTTTCGTCCTGCATGGATTACGTTGAAATTTTAACAGAAGGTAGGTGATAGCCCAAGGATCAAAATCTATATCGAACCAAAGTGCGCCAAAATCTTGGGAGTGGTTGCCACCCCCTCTCGGGGGTGAAAAATTGTTTTTACGTTTTAACTACAGGTTTCGATTAAGAGTGATTCTAAACAAAAAATGTTTTATACATTTTTTTTGTAAAACTGATATTTTTCAAGTTATTCGCGATTGAAAGTAACAACTTTTAGACGAAAAAAATCGACGTTTTTAATCGATTATTCGCGAATAATTCGAAAATGGTGCATTTTATCAAAAAAATTGTAGATAACAAATTTGTAGCTTTTAAAAAGACAAATACAATTCATTTTTTTAAATGTTTTTGCGATATAACAGGAACCGAAATACGGCCTATCAATGTTCAGCGGTTTTCTTCAAATGCCAAATTTGAATGATTCAAAGTCAAATATCGGGAAAATGATGCATTTTTGAAAGAAAACTCACAGAACCTTTTTTAAAGAGCATAAATAGACCTATCATAAAAAAAGACTCTAGTTCAAAAATTGAGTGAGTTATGATGAAAATAAGGTCAATACCTCATTTTTTACGAAAAAATCGATGAAAACAACACCCTAACCACCCCCATAATTAAAATCGATCTTCACCCTTCTGCAATTCTCTTTGTACATGTATTGTTAATACGTCCAAGAAGTTTGACCCATTTAAAATGCTTAGTTTTAGAAAAAGTACAGCATAAAGCGAGAAACGATTTACAATTTCATATTTTTTACCCTTCTTTTTTTAAATATCCCCGAAAATACTGAATACATGAAAAAAATAATAATGTACTAAATTGTAGCTTTTTTAATGAGTAAAATTTTCCTTTATTTAGATTTGTTGTACAATGAATATTTGGCGAGATATAGCCGTTTAAAGCATCGATTTACGATCAAGCACCATCTTCTTTAAGCCCTTTAAACTCACCCCATTTAAAAACCAATGATTCCAAAAAGATTTAATTCACAGATCCTTTGTAGCTCTTAATAACCTCTACAAAATTGTTTTTGAAGAAACAGTCTATCGTTAAAAATGAAGGAAATACGTTAAAAAACCAAATAATTTTTTTTTCCGGAAAAATTCCATTAGTATAGTACAGTACATTTCGGAGCATAATAATCTACAAAACCGGTATATTAGGTAGTGGGGCGTTATACATTCGAAATTTTAAGCGTTCTTATTTTGAAATCCCATACAACAGAATTATATATGTTCGATACCTGTATCAAAAAATGTCACGAAAAAGGCTGTTTTTCTAATTTCTCTAGTCTGTATTGGAGGCATAGCCTTTCTAAAATATATTATTCTCTTCTTTATTACTATTATTTTTATTCACTAACCTATTTTATAATACACTTCAAAACGATAATACTAAACTACCCTAATCAGAATTATTTAACGTTACCGAAAAATAACTTGTACTTTCCAACTCTTAAAAACCAGATGAGAACAATTGGTAGGACCTGGGTCAAAATTATGCAATTCGGATGACTATAAAAGTCGATCTGTTCATCCAATATGCATCAGTTAATCATTCTTGATTCATATATTAAACAATGGCATTCAAAGTAAGTGAATTTAACATTGCTTATTTATATTTATAACAGTAGGTAGTTAAAAAAAATTATAAAATATTCAAATTCAAATATACCTTTTTTTTGTATTTTAATGTTTTGCTAATTTCTTTTTTAGACGTCACTATCAAACATGAAATAATCATAAAATTTTAGGCTTACTATTAAAAAGTCCTTATTTATAAGTTGTTTATGGTGATTGACTCAATCCTTTTATTGTTGAATAATTTGCAGCTCTTTTCTTTGTTTTTATGATTTTTATTTACACTCAGATATTTCTAAGGAATGTCGCTCTCATATATACCAAGTTTAATAAACATAATTAATAGGCATATACTCTCTAATTTTACACCTTAAGCTTAACAGATTATGTTTCTCCATATATTTTTATTCGAGTTGAGACATTTCTATATGCCTTTTCTATTCTTCTTGTGATTGTGCCTATTCAGTCAGTCCCTTTTTCGTTGGTGTAGATACTTGTTTTTAGATGTTTCCTTTATTATTATATAGTCATGTTTCTGCAAATCTGATATATGTCCTCTTCTACTGTTGTGCTTTTTTAAAGGTAATCTTAACGTCTGCTTTAGTATACATATTCTTATTGTAGCTTCCTCTTCAAGTAAGTCAGATCTTCAGGGTACTGCATACCTACTTGATCATCTTTGTATCATTACTCGTTTGTGATGAGTTATTCCATTATTCGTGTCTTTAGACTATTTTGTACATATATCTTAAATAAGAGGTACTGTAAATATGAAACATCCAGATGTAATAAGAGGGACTTTATTTTGAAGTTCATTATGACTCTCTTTCCTATTGTAGAAGGAATTTTTTTCTTTATTCCAATTTATTTATAGCATCTAATAATTTTTTCTGTCATTCCAATTAATGCATTGCTTCCACAGTCTAAGTCCACAAATATTCAGTGGCGGACTAAGCCCAAAGCGGGCCCTAGGCAACATTGTAATTCCGGGCCTGTTTTTCAGTCATGACACATACTTTGCGTTTGGTAGCTTGGTTTCAAAGCACATAGTATGTAGTTCTATTTAATTATCGGATTCCAAAAAAAGAAAAAATATTATACATGTACAAAAATTAATAAATAAAAATATTTTATTAAAACAAACAATAATACTTAAACAAATATACCTAGAATGATTAGTTATATCGCCGTTTTTCTTACTTTTAATTTTGCAAATTGGTTAATTAGTTTGTCATAATTATTACAGTTATTTAATAACTCTTTCTATATAAAGTAATGATAACCTATTTAATATTTGTTGGCCTAATGTAATCTTAATTTTTTTTTATTTTGGCTATTACTGAGAATGATCTTTCACTTCTTGCATTACTTATTGTAAGGATAAAATAAATTATCAGAATTGTGTTTAAATTTGGGATAATTGCAATAATAGTATTTTCCTTAATTAATGAGTACATGGATAAAGGCTAAATAATATTTTCTTTGGATTATCTGTATTTGTATTATTTGTATTAACAAGAAATAATCTTGTTAATACAACAAAAATAGTTACTTTAAAATGTTCTTTGTCACTAAATCGTATTTCATGTTCTGTAATTTCACCATGAAATAGTTTTCGTATTTTCTGCCGTTTTTTATCATTAGTATATGCAATATCTTTAACATTTTCTGCTTCTTTTGAATGAATCTTACTCAATGAATTATATATTAAGACTAGTGCATTTATTTTTTATTGTAGAGTCTTGTTTGAAACATTTATTTTATCTAAAATCTTTTCTCATATAGTAAGTAACAGTACATACTCAAATGTATGGTTTTTCATCTTTGTTTGAGGAAATCTGACTTAAACAATGTTTAATTTCTTGATAATTTGCCTTTAAAGATGTCACAGTATCAGAACGAGCAGACCACCTGGTAATACCCAAGTGTTTGAACCTACAAAATTTTTGTAATGCATTCCACCTATTTGTAGAACTTAAAAAAAGTACGTAAAATTCCTGAACGATAGGTATTGAAAAAAATGCAAATTTTCATTTTCAAAGTCAATTGACAGAAAATTTTTTTTTTATTCTGGATTGGAGTCCCTTATATTTGCCTAATATATTAAACGCATTATGAACGCTGTCCCCTACAGTTAGTGATAGAGTTAATGTGGTCACTGGAGTTTTCATACTTAATTTTTTATGTACAGTTTTTCAATCCAAAAATGATGCAACAGTTAATTTGTTTTGATCCTTCGTTGCATTGAATAGAAGATGATTCCAACGACCCATTTATTGATTTTGGTGGATTTTTTACATAATACTCTCGCATGGTCTTTGTTAATAATTCTGACCACAATGCAATATCGTTTACAAAACTCTTAGCTTCATCATTACTTTGAGATGATTTCACTTTATATTTTCTCCTTTTTTGTTTCATCTTTACAATTAGAATTGCTTGGTTTTTCCCGCTGGTGTTTTTTTAGAATAGTTTCGTACATACGTGATGTTCCTGGGGTTTGAGCAGTTGAAATTTGTGAAAATGATATCGATTGTTGTAATTATTGTTCATACTAAAAACAAAAAAGAAAATGATCTTCAATTTAATTTATTTTTACTCAATATTATAATCACAAACCAAATCACAATACACTCGCGAGTACGGGAACGCTCATCTAACTTTGTCGACTTTATCAATCAACGATTCGGTATAATTTGGACACGTTTTAACAATAATTATGAATATTACGTTTTTCTGTTAATTAAAAACAAAAATTAATTATAAAAATAAAAAATTAAATACTTAATTTTGAGGTCCCATAAATTAGGGGCCCTAGGCACGTGCCTAGGCCTTATTCCGCCCCTGCAAATTTCCTACGTATCTCGTTTTTTATTTATTTTCCTTTGTAGCAGTTCTTGTAGTATGTAAATCTTGTCTACGCACGATCTTTTGTTAAAACCTGCATGGTTTTCAATTCTTTACTTTTTTGTTCAGTATATTCCGTTTCCTCTTGATGATAATAAAAATTATTCTTCGACCGTGATTTTTTACAACCTCCGTTGGATCGTTTGTTGTATTTTTTGTTATTTAATTCTGTTCTTTTAAAGTTTAGTTATAATAAAATTATGATAACTAGTTATTGAGTAACTCAATAATTCATTAAAATATACTATGTGTCGACTAAATCGAATTATGTGGAGTGGCCTATTTTGCTTTATCAGACACATATTTCTTCGAATGTCTCTCATGAGGTCCTGGACGGAATTAAGATCAATTTATCTCAGTTTTCCGTAAATTCGCCGTCTTAGATGTTCTTCATCTTGGACTTCTTAGCCTCCATGATAAACCTTTCTATACTGTAAAGCCCAAAAATCTTCTATTGGACGAGCCTGTGGCAAGTTTCGTGGATTATCATTTTTGGAAACAAAAGGTTAGTGGTGTTGTTAAAGCCAGTTTTCGGTATCAATTGAGTATCAAAACATATCATCATTGGAATGATTTTCGTGGACAAACTGAAGCAATTTGGAAAGCCAGTTATCAATATACCTCTTACTTCATCTCTCACTCTTTCCACAAAAGGTCGGGATACACCCTGTTAGAAATTGCACACAATTTGCAGATAAAAAGGATTTTATCTGCAAATTTCCCTTTACGTTTGTATCTCACATTATCAAGGCATTCTTCTACGTTGTCCGTATAAAATCCGTGGTTAACCTTCATTGTAGAATTACTCAAATACTTTTCATTATCTAAAATAATAATTTTTTCATCGGCAAAGTGTACCTACCTCAGTTGACGCCAGCATCTTAGTATACGAAGGAGTTGCACTTGAGAGTATTTTAAGTAATTTCATTTGATTTTAATATTTCAGACCTTCTTTTTCTTCTTTAAGTGTCATTTTCGCGGCGGAGGTCGGCAATCATCATGGCTATTCTGAGACGGCTGCTCTGAAAAATTTATTTGATGTGAGCGTACCACTCTCTTAGCTCAGGTTGCGCAGCCATGACATTCTACGCCTCCCTATGCTTTTCTTTCCTTGGCTTTTTCCCTGCATAATCATTTGGAGCAAGGTGTATTTCTCTCCAAGTGTAACAAGTCCGAGATATTCCAATTTTCTTGTTTTAATTCTATTTAAAATTTATATTTATTTATTCATCCTTCTCAGAACCTCTTTGTGTGTGACGTGTTCTGTCCACGATATTTTCAGAATTCTTCTACATACCCACAGCTCGAATGATTCCAGTTTTTTTACGCTTGATCTATAGTGTATATGTTTTTGTCCTAAGTTTATATATATAAAATTAGTATATTAAACAAGTATATGAAAATCACAAATTTTTAGCATTAATAATACCTACTTACAGAGAAATTTTAAGTTAAAAAAACAATTTTTTGTTTACAACAACTTTGCATTATATAGGACCTATATTTTTACATTAACAACACATCTTTATAGATTCTCGACACTTATTTATTACTAAAGCTTTTTTACATTTTTCAGCTAGTTATTTTCGCTTCCTTCTTAGCCTACACCAATGCAGGCCTACTGGGCGCACCAGCCGTAGCAACTTATTCTGCTGCACCTGCAGTTAGTTCTGCGTACATCCACTCAGCTCCCTTGGAAATTGCTAAACCTGTGCTATCAGCATATGCGGCCGCACCAGTAGCTATCCATGCTCCAGCACCAGTAGCAATTCATGCCCCAGCATATGGATCCAGTCATCAAAGCGTAGAACGATCTCTTGGAGGAGCCCAATCGATCTCACACTACTCCAAAGCCATCGACAGTGCTTTCTCCAGTGTACGAAAATATGATACCAGAATCACCAATGATGCTTTGAGTTTAGGTAATAATGTTTTTCTTTATCTATTATGTTTGGTACTACGTGAACTTAGGTTGACTATTTTGTGTAATACTTTACTCTTTCTTTTAGGTGTTGCAGCCCATGCTCCCGTAGCTACATATGCCGCTGCACCCGTCGCCAAAGCCTTGGCTCCAACTATTGCTTACTCAGCTGCTCCCTCTGTAAGCACATCATATATTCAACATGCCCAACCCATCATTGCTAAAGCTGTTGCACCTGTAGCAGTAGCCGCTCCACAGCACCTTACTTATACCGCTCCAGCTCCCGTAGCCTATGCTGCCCATAGTCCAATTGTTGCTAAAGCTGTTCACGGTCCAGTATTTCAGTCTTATTCTGCACCTTTTTTGACAAAAACAATTGCCCCAGTTGCTACTCCCCTTACAGTCTCAGCTGGACCTGTTGTAGCTAAAGCCGCAATTGGTTACTCCCCCGCAAGTGTTGTAGCCCACACTACATTTACCGGTCTAGGAACTGCTTACGAATGGTAGACTGATTTTTTACAAAAGCTATGTTTTTGTATGTAAAAAGGTTATTTATTGAACTTTAAATAAAAGGTATTGTTTCTGAATTAGTTGTGTTTTGATTGAGCATAATGAATAAACTATCTGCAATATAGTCAAACACAGGTTTTCAATAAGCCAGTAGTTGCAGGTATTCAAATAATATACATCAAAAGACGGCATATGTACAAAAGACGGTATACGAACAAATGAAAGCATAAAAAGCAGACTGCTTACTAAGTTACATAAATGAATCCTATAAAGGATGTAAATTAAAAAGGCAGATAATTTAAACCAGGGCCAGTTCTAAACCAAATCATAAAAAAACATAAGGGTATCGGCATTTTATTTATATATGAGGCATATTAAAATATATTCATATAGAATAGAAAATAGATGACAATCGCTTATTAATAAAGCTTCTTGTTCTTGTGTTTCCTTCTCCTATCATAAGTTGGCTATCATCACAGCTATCCGTACCTTATTGGCGGCTGCTCTAAAAAGATCTACTGCGCTGCAACTATACCACTCTCTTAGGTTTTTCAGCCAGGAAATTCTTCGTCTTCCTATGGATCTTTTACCCTTGATTTTACCTTGCATTATGAGCCTTAATATCTCATATTGCGTACCTCTGGTAATGTGGCCTAAATATTCCAGCTTTCTTGTTTTGATGTAATTTATGACCTCGCAGTCCTTTTGTAGCCTTCTTAGCACTTCTGCATTTGTAACTCGTTGGGTCCATGGTATTTTCAAAATCCTTTTGTTGCACCACATCCCAAATGATTCCAACTTATTTATATTATCCGCTTTTAGTGTCCAGCTTTCCATTCCATACAACAAAGTCGAGAACACGTAGCATCTTAAGGCTCTTATCCTCAGATCCAGAGGAAGGTCTCGATTGACAAACATTGTTTTCATTTTTATAAATGCTTGTCTTGCAATTTCAATGCGTGTCCTTATTTCTCTACTTTGGTCACTGTTTTCATTTACCCAGAATCCCAGATATTTGTAGTTATTCACTCTTTCTACTTGTTTTCCATCGATATCTAGCCTTCCCACTGTATTTTGCTTAGAAATAATCATGAACTTGGTTTTCTTAACATTCATTTGTAGTCCAGATTTCACACTGCACTTTCATACTAAACGTTGCAATGCTTCTAGACTGTCTGCAAAAACAGCGGTGTCGTCTGCGAATTTTATGTTGTTTAAGATTTTTCCGTTTATTGATATACCCTGTTGTTCCTCTGATATTGCTCCCTTAAAAATAGCTTCGCTGTACAGATTGAATAACAATGGGGACAGCACGCAACCTTGTCTAACACCTCTTTTGATTTCTATTGTTTCTGTATCGACATTTTCGATTCTAACCTTTGCTTTTTGATTACAGTACCGATTGACAATAACCCGTATATCTCGACTATCCACATTCTTTTCTTTTAACAGTTTTAAGAGTTTCTGATGTTGTACTCTATCAAAAGATAGAGTACGACATACTCAACATACTCTATCAAAAATTAATAAAGCAGGATTAGTTTAATTTATGTGGCGACCCTAGCTCAGCGGCCTAGATACTGGCATGCTAAACCAGTTAGATCTTTGGCAACAACATTTTTAATTCTAAAATTGTTTTGAGACGTCACCGTGATTCGGAGGACACGTAAAGCCATCGGGCCCCCTGAGCTAGTGTGCATCGACACTGGTTACCTGAAATAGGGTGAATTGGCGCCGTAACTATCCGAAATGATCTCCATGGCAAAAATTCCATACGATATTATTATTATTACTTTAATTTATATATAAAAATAAAACTAATTAATAATATTAAAAGAAATAAATACTGTGGTCATAAGGCCCATAAATTCATTAAAAAAATGTTCATTACAAAATAATTAGCTACATAAATTTATTTTTATTATTTTTTTTATTTTGTAAGACATTTCTACATGACATTAAAAGAACAAACCAAGTTATAAACTACTGACTAAATTTAATCCGATTTCTCAAAATCGCTTTGATCGTCGGGAATATTATAAGGCTCAGATGGTAACTCAGGCTGATTAGCAGAAAGAAGTTAGCTGTAGTACTCTTTAGATCCCTCTTCACAAAATTTTGTTAAAACTTTTAGATCTGCACACTTTTCTTTGGGCAAAGTTATAAGCGTTTGGTAGAGCTGATTGGGATCTTGAAGATCGGGTACCTTTGATTTTCCCTTATGGTTCTTCCGTTGATGTTTTACTAAGGATGACGTGAAAGATCTGTTATATGTTTCCCTGTAATCCACGGTTTTGCATTTTCTTTCAAAAAACATTAACTGTTTTAATTGCCGAAGGAGAAAAGAAAATTTCTTTTTAGAAACTTATTACTTATAAGATTTTTAGAAACTGATTACTCTCTTCAGAACAATTTCTTTGTAGAACTTGGAGGACAAAAATGTATCCCACACCTTAAACATAATTTGTTCACATGATACAACAACAAACGGATGTGGCTTGATTCGTGCGGCTTCTATAACCTTACTCCAGCCATCTGGTTTTCAGCCTTTGCCACAGTGGCAAATCTTTTTATTGAAGCAGTTAAGTAGTGGAAGAACTGGATGATAGTGCGATTTTTGTTTTGTCCCCCGCAATAGTCGGCAAACATAAATTTTTTTAACAGCAGGATCCAGGTAGGTATTAAAAAAATGATAAAGCATTGAGATAACGTCATCTGACCCTTTTTTGCGATGGTTGGTCGTACGTGTACATGATTGAAACACCATTTGAGAAAACATAAATATTAAAAATATAGAATGACAGCTGTCTACTAAAATAAACTTCAGCAGAAGTTATATTCAAAGTAGGGAGACTCTGTTCTCCCTTCTTCTTTTGATCTACAGTTGATGACTTTCTAGTTTCAGATTTTGCACGTCTTTTCAATTCATAAAACCAATAGGTCTTCTTCAAATGGAGTGTCTTCTCAAATTCTAGCTTCCTGATATCGTTCTCTAACTTTACTTTTTCATCGTCACCTTTTGAACGGCAATTTTTCTATCAAGCTCAATATTTGTGGCTTTCTGCTCGTCACACCAACAGCACGTTTCAGTTCGTGGGTAACCGAAGGAGATGTTAAACTCTGACACAAATATTTGCCTGAATATTTCATAACACATCTTAATATGGGGATATATATATATATATATATATATATATATATATATATATATATATATATATATATATATATATATAGTAGATTTGAGTTTCTTGAACCGTATTATATTTAATATAAAATTAATGTTTCTTGGGTTTAGGTTCAATAAAGATATTACATGTGGAACTAGATTTTATTTTCCATTGCAATCAATCAACGTTTCGGCAGGAAACCCTTGCCTTTGTCAAGATTCTAAAATGTGTATATATAAGGACAAACAGATATTGTAAAATATGTATATATATATATATATATATATATATATATATATATATATATATATATATATATGACTTACCAAAACGTAAAACGTGACACAGACATTAACGAACTGACATATAAAAGTTGATATCTGATATCTCATTGTTTACTGTCATTAGTATATAATTACTTTTTTTATGGGCGTATCGTTGATGTTTTTGAAAAAGGTAAGGTGGAGATATGTTATGACTTTAAGAGCTTTTTATGATGTTATATTATTCTTGTTTAAATCAGATTGAAATATATTTTATTTAGGTTTTGTGTATCTTTTTTGTCATTTATTGCGTTGGTGTTACTCAATAAATGACAAAAAAGATACACAAAACCTAAATAAAATATATTTCAATCTGATTTAAACAATAATAATATAACATCATAAAAAGCTCTTAAAGTCATAACATATCTCCACCTTACCTTTTTCAAAAACATCAACGATACGCCCATATATAAATAATTATATACTAATGACAGTAAACAATGAGATATCAGATATCAACTTTTATATGTCAGTTCGTTAATGTCTGTGTCACGTTTTACGTTTTGGTAAGTCATATAGATATATAGGCCATAACAATATATATATATATATATATATATATATATATATATATATATATATATATATATATATATATATATATATATATATATATATATATATATATATCTTAGATTAGATTAGATTAGTTCTTCTCAACACGCCTTAATTTTATTTTTTAGGAATCAGCTTTCTTTGTGAATATACGAATACTCTTATGCTTAAATTTAGCCAACACGACTGCAGTCATCGATTCGTAAGCAATAAATTCTATCTATACCGGAATTTATGCAAGTGTAGACAGTGTTATGGAATACTATGCGTTTATTTCTTCTCCGGACTAACTCTTTGTTTTGGAATTAAACAGAATATATTGACATGTATAAATTTATTATATTAGAGGATGAAAATTACACTGCCTGTTATTTCTTAAAACTATGAATTTATAAGTTCTGTTATCTACAATTATTTAACGATGTTTCTGGATGGATTTGAGTACAAGAGATTGGACTCAAATATTAATATTAAAATAGCAAATACGGATAGCTTATCGAACAAAGAAATAAGAGAAATAAATTATTATTATTCCATAGATACGAAGTATTAGGCGAATAAACTAGCGAAACTTATTTATTCTAAATAGGAAAATATTTATGAAGAGTATTGATTCTGATTTCTAACAGCAAATAATTATTAGTGATTATACATGAGAACTTTTCATAATTGTAAATAACATATACCAGGTGACTAAAAACTATATAGAAATACATAGATACTTTAATTATCTTACATGTGAGTAGGTAGGTACATTACACCTCCTTTTGTAAGAATGAAAATAATTGTAAAATGAATTTTCATTTAAATGGTATAAAACATTTGTATACATTATTATTTTATTTTAACACATTTAAATAGTTTCTTTTAGTCTCGATAGTCTTTCACTTCGTCTTATCGGTGTAGTCTCTGTGAAACTAGTCTCTTCACACTTTTTGGATTCACTATAATTATTGTCTTTATTATGTTTACAATCTATACTTAAATCTGTCTCATGTACATGTTTTCGTTTACTTTGACATATAT